TCTCTCTCTCTCTCTCTCTCTCTCTCTCTCTCTCTCTCCATTTCTCTCTCTCTCTCTCTCTCTCTCTCTTTCTTTCTTTCTTCCCCCTCTCTCTCTCTCGCTCTAGTGAAGGGAACAATTTTTTTTTAAGCGGCATACATTTAGGTAGTAGATAATAGATGTGATATCGGTGGGCTAATAATTAATGATTAATTCCGCAGTATAGGCCTATATTTAGGATTATAGTGATACAAGATATAAGATATGATATTTATTGGTGATTGACATCGTAAATCAATGAAAAAAAACGTAAATATATAACTCATAATATACCCGACAGGTGGCGTTGTTGTGCGTAAACAGCATTTGCTCCGAATTTACCGTGCGTGTGGTTGTAAAATGTAACTTGTAAGTTATTTGTTATATTTTTGCGTTTTTTCATTGATTTACGATGTCAATCACCTACGTTATGACTAAGGTCCTCAATTAGAACTTACTCGATTTGTATAGCCATTTAGTGTCACAACCGCGTTGGGTTAAGTAAACGATAGTCTAGTCTAGACTACAGCCGGCTACATCACACGTGACACTGTCAGCAGTGTGACTGAGTGAGGCTCGAGTCATAGGGGCCGGTCATAGGGTCTATGTCCCCCAGGGTACTGCCGGAATGTACCCTGGTAACTATCTGATATGGTTAGGGAGTAGGCGTAGGCGACTCCCTAGACTCGGTAGTGGAGTAGGCGAGGTACGGTCTGGCATATTATTAGATAGTACCAGGGTACGTTCCGGAAATGGTACCCTGGGGGACATAAACGGTATTACTATTACATTAGACCCTCTCAGCGTGAGTGAGTGTATTTGACATTGATCATGTGAAGTATTTCACCACTTGGGAGCTCATAATATGATTATCATCAACAGACAACACTGGCAGGTGTAATACAACTTCACAAAGAAAACAAACGAAACAACCAACACAAGGAAAGCCTCACATTGACTAGTTCTAGTCCACTTATAAGTTATAATTTGGCAGTGGCTACGGGTACGGTAGCCGTATCTTAATGTCTCGAGGCTACGGGTACGGGAGTCCATTCGCTTTCATACTTAACGAGACAAAGATGGCGGCGGTGGCGCCAGATTTCGAAATAACGCCTTGGGAAATAAATTCACGATTTGAGAGTTTAGATGAGCTAGAACCCTAACCCCAACCCTAAACCTAACCCTAAACCTAACCCTAACCATAACCATAACCCTAACCCTAATCCTAACCCTAACCCTAAACCTAATAATATTAGATTAGTAACTAACAGTTGTTATGGTTTTGTTGTGTCAACATGTCAGCAATATCAGTCGCATGACACCATGCCGCAGTGAATATTAAATTAATATTTTATTAATTTAATGAAATCGAACACCTACTGAATGTCATAACTGGGATCAGGGTCTTAACTTCTTTCACAGAAGTCTTAATAAATGAGATGTTATTCTTTCAGGCACCCTTCACCCATCCGTGTATCACTATATAGGAGTCAAAACTTGTCTTCTTTCAATGAAGCCTTATTATAGCCTTGAGTATTTTCTTTCAGGCACCCTTCACCCATCCGTGCATCACCATGGGCATCTGGGGCTTATCTTCCTTCATAGAAGCTTTTATGAAATGAGATGTTTTCCTTTCAGGCACCTTTCACCCATCCGTACATCACCATGGGCATCTGGGGCTTATCTTCCTTCATAGAAGCTTTTATGAAATGAGATGTTTTCCTTTCAGGCACCTTTCACCCATCCGTACATCACCATGGGCATCTGGGGCTTGTCTTCCTTCATAGAAGCCTTTATGAAACGAGATGTTATCTTTTCAGGCACCCTTCACCCATCCGTGCATCACCATGGGTGTCCGGGGCTTGTCTTCCTTTATAGAAGCTTTATTAAAATGAGATGTTATTATTGCAGGCACCCTTCACCCATCCGTGCATCACCATGGGTGTCCGGGGCTTGTCTGCCTTTATAGAAGCTTTATTAAAATGAGATGTTATTCTTGCAGGCACCCTTCACCCATCCGTGCATCACCATGGGTGTCCGGGGCTTGTCTTCCTTTATAGAAGCTTTAGGCCAAAACAAAATATAGGTGTGGTTACGGTTTCCCGACCGACCCAATTTATTCCCAGCGACCCTAAACATTTTATTGTCAATTTTCTATAAAGTAAAAAAAAAAAAAAATAATAATAATATGAATTGGACACAACGCACATCCTTCGGACATGCTTCGTAAATAAAATGTTTCAATAAAATAAAATGTTTTCCCTACCTACTACCCTATTTTTTTCGGCATGAAATGGTAACCACACCTATATTTTGTTTTGGCCTTATTAAAATGAGATGTTATTCTTTCAGGCACCTGTCATCCATCCGTGCATCACCATGGGTGTCCGGAGCTTGTCTTCCTTTATATAGAAGCTTTATTAAAATGAGATGTTATTTTTTCAGGCACCCTTCACCCATCCGTACATCACCATGGGTGTTCGGGGCTTGTCTTCCTTCATAGAAGCGAACCCGCACCTGCTCGTAACGAAGAAACTCTGCGACACGAAGGTCGTCGTCGACGGCAACAACCTCTACCACTTCATCTACTACGCGGGCAACCACCGCGTGCGCTACGGTGGCGACTACGACGCGTTCCGCCGCTCCTGCCTCGCCTACTTCGCCGCGCTGCGCCGCTGCGGCATCGCCCCCTACGTCGTCTTCGACGGCAGCGACGAGGCGAGCGAGCGGAAGCTGCGCACGGCGCTGGAGCGTGCGCGAGGGAGGCTGCGGCTCGCAAGCGCCGTCGCGAACGGGCAACGCGGCGCGGCGCTCCCTCTGCTCGCGCGGGACGTGTTCGTGCACGCGCTGGCGGCGGCGGGCGTACCGCACGCGCAGTGTGAACACGAGGCGGACGGTCAGATCGTCGCTCTCGCGAATCGGTGGTCGTGCCCCGTGCTCAGCCAGGACAGCGACTTCTACATATTCGAGGTGGAGGCCGGGTTCGTGCCGCTACAGCACCTTGACGTGGAACACGTGAGGACGTTCGACGGAGGAGGAGGAGGAGGAGGAGGCGAAGGAGGAGGCGGTGGAGGAGGAGGAGGAGGCGGCGAAGTAGGAGGAGGAGGAGGAGGAGGTGGCGGTGGAGGAGGAGGCAGCAGAGAAGGCAGAGGAGGAGAAGGCGACATCAACCACATGAGCACGTTCGATGGCCACGGAGGGGGAAGAGGCGGAGGAGGCGGAGGAGGCGGCAGAGAAGGCGGAGGAGGAGGCAGAGGAGACCACGTGCGAACGGTCGACAGCGGAGGCGGCGCTACACACTACCTCGACGCGGGCGTCTACTTCGCCGGCAGCTTCACGAAGCACTTCGGCGGCATCGCGCGGCCGCTGCTGCCCGTCTTCGCGACCCTCGCCGGCAACGACTATGTAGACATGGAGCGATTCGCCGGCTTCTATGCGCGCATCGATGCGCCGCGCAAGTCCAAGCGTCGCGCGGTCGGGCAGCGGCACGCGCGCATGGCCGGTCTCCTCGCGTGGCTGAGGAGCCTTGAGTGCAGCGACGCGGACGCGATCGTCGACTGCGTGCTGCACTTCGTCAAGCGGGACGAGCGGCCGGAGCTGCGACGGCTCATGAAGATGTCGATCGACGCGTACGCGCTCTCCGGAACGACGCTCGCTCGCCACTTCGCCGGCAAGAAGTATGTAACCCAGCCGTGTCGGACGTGCGGCGAGGACTCGTGGTGTCGGGCGTGTGCCGGCGACACTGCGTCGCCTCGGACGTGCGACAGTGACTCGCTATGTCGGAGATGCGGTAAGGACGCGTCGAGTTGGGTGTGCGGCAGCGATGACCCACCGCCTCGGACGCGCGACAACGATGACTCTCCATGTCAGACTTGTGTTGACGACCAGCCATGCCGGACGTGCGAGAGCGACTCGTTGCGTCGGACGTCCAGCGACGATTCACCGCCTCGGACGTACGACGACGACGACGATGGCTCCGATCTCCCCGGCTGGTTCGTCGCGGCGTGCCGCGACTGCCGGCTCCCGCCGTCGGCTCTCAACGTCGTCTCGCTGCGTCGCGTCATCTTCCTCGCCCAGGTTGAGAATTTCTGCGCGGCGAGCGCGCAGCACGCCTGCCGCCACGTGCGCCAGGTGACGTACGGCATACTGCTGCGCGACCGTCGCCACGGCGACGACGACGTCGTAGTCGAGCACGACCGCGTCGTCCGGCGGCTGAAGGCGCACAAGGTGGCGCCGGTGTACGAGCTGCACGCCTGGGGGGCGCTGCCGTCGCTCGTCGCGCTGCCGGGGCTGTCCGCGGACGATCGGCGGAGCATCCTGTGCGAAACGCTGGGGGCGGACGCGGCGGGGGGACTGCGAGGGTTCGAGACGGAGATGCAGCTGGCGGCGGCGGTGCTGCAGTACTGGATGCGGAACTGCGCCCCGCTCGCCTGCCACGTCCTCGCCCTCGTCGTCGGATTCTTCCGGGGCGCAGTCGTCGAGCCGTGCCTCGACGACGACGGTGGAAAAAACGGCGAGACGAACAACGATAACGGTGGCGCCATCTTCGCGGCGATCCCGGGCGAGGACGCGCGGCGGGTCTCCGCCGGCCTGCGGGAGTTCTGCGACCAGCCGAAGCACGGTCGCCGTGGCGACGGGTTCGACGTGGGGATCGTTCACGCGTTCGCGCAGTGGCAGGCCTGCCTCAAGGCTGCGACGCATCTCAACCAGCTGCTGGTCTCGCCTTTAGCCTCATGCGACCCCGCTGATCTCTACAGCGGGACCTTCGCCTACAACCTGTGCCACCGCCTCGCGACTCTCCCCTCCTCCTCTTCTTTCTCCTCCTCCTCCTCCTCCTCCTCCTCATCCTCCTCCGCCGCCGCCGCCGCCTCCTCCATCTCCGCCGCAGCATACGTTCGAGAGTTGTTTGCGTTGTCGCCGCCTCTGCTGCGCCAGTTCGACGCTCTCCAAGCTGTTGTTTCGTCGTGGACGACGGCGGAGGAGGCGGCGGAGTCGGAAACGGAGAGGGGGAAGGTCGCGGGGAGGTCGTCGTCGCGAGAAAAGCACCCGAGGATGCCCGAGGAGGAGGACGGTGTGGCCAAAGAGGAAGACTGTATGACTAAAAAGGAAGACGGTGTGCCTAAAAAGGAAGATGGTAGGGCCAAAGAGGAAAATGGTGAGGCTAACGAGGAAAACTGTGTGCCTAAAGAAGAAAACTGTGTCACTAAAAAGAAAGACGGTGTGTCTAAAGAGAAAGACGGTACGACCAAGGAGGAAGACGGTGTAAAGGCAGAGGAACATGGGGCGAACAAGAGTTACGCGTACGACTACGGGTGTGACGTGCACAACAAGTTCGACTGCCTGCGCTTGGGTTCGGCGAGGGAGGCGACGGGAGGGACCGGCACGCGTGACCACGGAGGAGGAGAGGAATCTGCTGACGTAGACGGAGAAGACGACGAGCAGTTATGCGTTTCTTCCAAGAAGGAAATGTTGTGAAATTACTAATGTACCACCTGAAAAATACCAACCACCAAGTGGGAGTTGGGTATGCAAGTACCACATGCAGAAATACTACATGCACATACAATGCATATATGTGTGTGTTTGTGTGTGCATGCATGCGTGCGTGCGTGCGTGCGTGCGTGTGTGCATGCATGCGTGTGTGCATACGTGCGTACATGCGTGTGTATATATATATATATATATATAATATATGTGTGTGTGTATATATATATATACATATCTGTGTGTATCACATATAAAAAGAGGCAGAGAGACCTCTGAAGTAGCAGAATTTGGAATAATGGCATGTCTGCAGGATTCTTTTATAGTTATACGTTGTATGGTAGGCTACTTGTAAGGTAGTCACAGCGGGTTTACTGTGTTAAAAGCTGCTGCTGTTGCTGCTGCTGCTGCTGTTGCTGCTGCTGCTGCTGTTGCTGCTGCTGCTGCTGCTGTTGCTGCTGCTGCTGCTGCTGCTGCTGCTGCATAGCGTCTTATTTAACCTTACTCAGGCTCCACCCAGAAGTCAATTATCTTTAGTCATTGTGTGTCTGGGAATTGGCACATATACTTTTAAAACAATCAAAATGGATATTTCAAATCGAATATTCTTATTTTATCATGACAAATTGACAATGTTAAGTGCGTGATTGGGGAAATATTCAATTCGTGTGCATGGAGTTACTGGGTCGTGAATGTCTGAGTGACGTACTCGTAGGTCTGGCCCTCCAACGCTCCATTATTTATTTTAATATCTAATTAAAAGGTGTTCCATGATGCATAACACTCGACATACACACCAACCTTATTTACTTACCAGTTATTGACTTATTACTACAAATTTTATTTACCCAAAAGCTTACCGTGCTTGTTTTCATGGCACTCTGAGCAGTTGACTTTAGAACGAAATTTTGGAATCGATCAATTACTCGGGGAACAATAGCATAATGATCTTATATGATTAGCGTGAAATGTACTCAAAAAGCTTATTGTGCTTGTCTCTACGGCTCTCTTGACGAAATTTCGGAACCAATCAATTACTTAGGGACTCTGAACGATAGCATAATGACCTTATCTGATTGACATAAAATATAATAATTTGATTAGTCCTTGTTTGCCCTCCCCCCCCTCCCCCAGTGAGTTTGGGTAGAGGTCCATATCTGAGATATTTTAGCAACGTAATTTACTGATTAGGCTTAGTCATTAATCGGTT